GAGGGGTGCAGCCTGTGACATAAGGCTATTTGGGTGTGTGACCACAGGGAACCTGGGTTTTCATATCTCCCCCGCACAATAAAAGCCCTGTGCGCCACCGTCTCACAAGTCCAACTTTGTTTCTCAACAAGGAGTGTAAACTGTTGTCAATATTCAGATAGCCTTCATCTGCCAATAATGACAGGCAGCCGGCGTCCTATCTTATCTACGGGCCAGGTAGCGCCGTACCTGGGGGGAATAGCTGCTGCGATAAAGAGCGTCTGGGCCAATAGAAAGGCTCTTGTCTGTCTGTGAGGAGTTAATGGAGAACGCCACTGGAGACAGGAAGTCCTCAGAAAGTGAAAAGCACTTTATTGCGCACCTGAATGGCCCGGCGTAGGGTTTCTCTCAAACCCAATGGGAAAACCACATTACAGGTCCTTACACAGGGTCATTACAACAGGGCAATGGAGTTTAAGTGATCCATTGCATTTGAATGACAACATCACATCGCTCCATTCATTCTTCCCTCTTGTGTGACCTGGCGATGATCCCTGTGGGACTGGGAAGTTGTCAGCGGAGTGACGTGCTGGAGTTACAGTCGAGATTCATTCAAGTTCCTCCTCAAAGTGCGCGTGAAAATCTTCACCGCAGCACACGTGTTGCCTCATCCACTCCTCGCCGACTCTGAAGACAGTCGTGGTGATTGTTGCTTTTCTCGCAGCAACAGGTTCACGGAGCCATAACCCACAGTACACCGCAACATGACATCATCAAGCCTCTAAAAATGAACTGCAACATCGATCCCTCGCAGGCTGACCTCCCATAAGTCAAATATAGACGATGTGGGACATGTGTTTGGATGGAAGTGTATATTTACCTGTCACCAGGAACTCAAGGACATGGCAGCGGCGAGGTTGTATCCAGCCCAAGAGGGGAGTGTTTTGGGGGTGAAAATGAGTTGTAAAAGTGATAAATGGCTCACATTTCTCGAGCTGAGGAGCAGTGGAGCTGGCACCGTGCTCTCAGCCAAACAGTTAATTGCTCAGCACAGTAAAGGCCCAACAAAATACCCATAAAGCATCACGAAAAAGAAAAAAGTTTAGTCCACTCTCTTCTCTCTCTCCCTCTGCTTCTTCCTTTCCTTTACTCCCCCAGCTAAACGCCTGCTTCCATCCCTGCCCTGCACAAAAATATTATGTTGCCAGTGGCAACAATTGAATAAAATAACCAATCACATCTGCTCTTTCAAATATTTCCAAAATTAAGCTGAGTCTGTACATAATGGAGGAGTCGTCTCATCTGTGCGTCAGGACTCTGAGCCAGGATTCATTGCGGTGTGATAAATGATTGTGAGGCTTGTTTTGACAAACGCAAGGGTACTTCTGCCGGCACACTGTGCAGGGCCGTATCAACCGGATTAGAGGCTCTGATTGTGCCCTGGATTCGAGCTTTTGCTCTCAGCACCAATCAAAACCTGTGGTCGATGCATCCCATAGTAGCTACGCTGGTCTCCATGGCCACCGCCGCCTGTGTACAGTAGCCCCACCTCCTCCTAAGTGCACTTATTTCATAATAACAAGCTTGCGACAGCTCTCATCAGGCAACCGTGCTCACAAATAGAGGACAAGGGAAAGGGTGAGCCAGGGTTTGTTTTGACTCAATCACATTTTGTCTCCAGCCTCTCGCGACTAACCTTCTCCCCCCTCGACTACCTCCACAGTCATATTTTCCTACCGCACAGCTCTCATCTTTTAGAATGTCACTAGCTTTCATACGTCGACTGCCTCTTCCTCCTCTACCTCTCCTCTACCCTGCTGTTCTCCCCACCCCCTCACCCATCCCCGTGCTGGCCTGTACCTGTACCTGTGGATGTAACCGGGCCTCCTCTGGACCCCGTGCTGAGAACAGGAGATGACACAGTTTCTGGGTCACTTCTGTCACAGTCCAAATGCCACTCGGGGTGGGGGGGGGCTGACCTTTTCCGGTGGCCAATGCAAGAGCAGGCAGCCTCCATGCAGGCTGTCACCCCTGTGGTTCCAACCACAAACGCATGCTCCCTCCATTTCCCTGACAGACCCTTTTTTTTTTTCCAAACTCCCCACGCTCCTCTGTGGTATTCACCTCCCCCTTATTTATCCATGACAATACACGTTAAAACAATGGGGACGAATCAAAGCTGACATGCAAAAATAGCCACTGTAAATGTGGCTGATGTATGACATCTTGGCTAAACTCGGGGCCGTCACAGGCCACAGACACATGGTGTATCAGGTCTCACTGGAAGGAACTCCAAATATGCTTCCTGGATTTATTTGAAGGCGTGGGTTACACGACGAGCGCCACTGTTTTTACAAATGAGAGCTTGGCTCTAAATGGAATACTTCAATTAGCACGATTCCCAGTCAACACCTTTCTGTTTAACACGGTGGACCATCTCAGATATTTAGGTTTCCACTGCCAAGCTGTTCCTTTTAACAGGAAGTGACTTGAGTTGCTCATTTAGCGCTGTCAGAAATGGAACATTTCAATGGCCGGGCCCTGGGTGTATGTGATCCCGTGTCACATCAGTGTCAGGAGTGTTCAGAGCTCTGAATTTTTTGTTTTTGGAAGCTCTCGGCCGTGTCTCCGCTTGTCCCGCGCTACCAGTGACTCATACATCACCAAACTAAACTAGCCCCCGCATCCCCCACCCCACCCCCTGAGTGGATTAATGTGTCATAGTTGTTCAGTTTCCCTCAAACATACCATCTGCCCTCCATCCTGTCAATCAAACATCCACTGCTTTGCCATTTTAAAAATCCCCCAGACCATTTTTCTCATGATCCATTGTTGTTTTTAAATAACAGCCTCTGATTAGCAGGCAGAGCATCCTAAAAATAAAAATGAAATCTCTTCGTATCTGCTTCAGCTCAGGGCAGAGAGGCTGCTTTTTTCCCAGTGCTGTTATTCAAACCCTCTTTAAAAAAAAAAAAAAATCCTTTTTTAATTTCAAACTGGCTGCTCTGACTCTTCCAGGAGAACTTTTATTTATTTCCACCCTGTGATGTCTTGCTGGCTGAGGGAGGCTGAGAGGATCCCTACTAAAAGCACTACGCTGCCTGGGGCAGAAACAGGCCAGAGCTCTCTCCACATAAATAACACAGGAGCGTGGAGGAAGTCCGTTTGGTGGTCTGCTGGAGGGATAGAACCTACCCTTCAGCCTGTCTCTGGTTCTGTCCTTCTTTCTCATTCCCTGCGTCTCAGTGGTCTATCTAGCAGCTTGGCTGAAGAGGCATAAAACAGCAGGATCTGGAAGAGATTGGGCCAAGATGTACATCTGAGTGGATAGTGGACTTCCAATAGCCTGCAGGCCCCGGCCAGACAGAGCGGATGCTATGAAGTGCATCAAACTAATCTGACACATGGGAGTCACAGATTTAAGAATTGTAACCAATATTACAATACTGAATAAAATGTTTTAACTAAATTGTTTTGCATGTAGGTTCTTGGCAGAATTGTATAAGGGTAAAAATGATTAATAATATGCTTTCAATTTTTTCTCCTTCACACAAAATGGATTATCAGTTATCCTCGTATATTACTGCAAGTCAATTTTATTCTATAATAATAAAAGAAATGCCTAATGTTGAGTCTTGTTGCTGGATGCCTTTAGAGGATCACATTTCTCTACAACAGTGGTGTTCCTGGCCCGGGGAAAAGACCTCTCCAAACTGGCCTTATTTGGAGAGCACTCGAGTGCCCCATTGTTGTGACAAGAACAATGAATCTAAAAAGAGGTGGGAGACAAGGGCAAGGAAAACACAAAATAAAGATGTCGGCTTTTGAAAAAAATCTTTTTTTTTTTCTATATTCGCACTTGCATCATGGAAACACTGTCAGCTGACGCTGTTGTCGGCCGCCGCCTTTGAAGTTGATTTTAAAAAAGCTGTATTTAGTTTGCATTGTGTGCAGAACCTAATTTATAGGAGTTGACCCTGGCTCCTCTTTTGTGCGACAGCCATCTTGGAAAACAATGGCAGGAAGGCTTGAAACTTGAGAGGAACTGATTCTGCTGTTTTCCATTTTTTTCTGTTCTTACTCAATAGAGAATTTTCCCTCCCCGAGTAAAATAGCTCTGTTTTTGTGTCCAACAGGAGCCATAAACTGATGTCTAAGCATTCCATAGCCAGGCAATAGGGCTGAGTTTAACTGGACACATGGGGACAGTTGTTTTGTACCACATGGAGCGAGGGGGGGGGGGGCCTGACAGAGGAAGCCATGGCCGCCTGGCGACCCCGCAGTGACCCACTGGCCTCCTCATGGAGGGATCAAGGCCTAGATGGGAGCCGGCTGAGGGTTAGAGGTTTAAGGGTAACAAATCAAGCAACACTTTAGTGGTATTTAACCCCCGCATACCATATCTCTCTAACTGCGAGCGCGGCGCATGACTGTGCAGAACAAACATAGAAACGCTTATTTTTATTCTACATGGGGAAGTTCTCCTCGGTAACAGAACTGGAGTGGCTCAGGTTGGGAACGACTCCACTGTAGTGAGGACGAGGAGAATGTTTCGTGCTGATTTTAGGAAACAAATTAACTTGTTTACTCAGGTTCAATACTGCAACAGTTCGGGGCACAACACATATGTCTTATTATAAGATGCATTGTCGGAGGTGACGGCAGGTTCTTCACCCTTTCACTTTCTTCCCTCTTATCGTTTTGTGTGCCATAAATAAGAGGACAGGACAGGGACCCCCTATAGGCAGTGCATATCTGCCTCTAAAAGCATCACTCAACTTTATGTTCACTTCTGGTTCCCTGAGCCCGGCTGTGTTTCTTCCATCGGTATCTGCTCATAAAAGGTACTGAGGCTGTAACAAAGTGCAATAGACAACTGCTGGATAGTCACACACACACACCTTTACACAGAAATCAGGTGTTTCTACTGTACCTACCTGTAAGCACTCACGTAGCTTTAAGTATTTAACAAACACGTAAAGTTTATGCTGCCAATAATCATGACAAGAACAAATTTAAAATCATGTATCAAAACTTATTTATTAATAATAAACATACAAAATGGCACTTTCTTCTTATCACAACGTAAAATGTGGACTGAATTCTTTACAACTCTACAGTGCGCTTTCATGGCAGCTGACATATAGACCTAATTAATTTGCAGTTTATTACACTGTGACCTCGACTATCTGCTTCAACAGACACCGTCTCCCTTCAGTGGAGAACACTGTAACATCAGGCTACTTGGCTTGCTAGCTGATGTTAGCAAATGTGAGATAACGCAGCTTATATGGAAGATATTCAATACAGACTTTAGGCTTGTAAATAACCTGGAGAACTATGACCAGTGCTGAGATGACGTGTTGCTTAAGAAAGTTAATCGCCACTAATTTAGATGATCATTAATCATTTTAATTTGTGAAGCAGAAAATGCCAAACAAGCTTCTCACTTCATGATTTTAATCCTTTTCTCTGTTTTATCACTGTAAATTAAATTTCTTTGGGTTTTGGACTGTTGGCCCAGAATTTGTGATAGCCTCCAGCCACCCCAATGTTTTGTAGAGTCAACTATGAACTAATCAGATTAAAAATGTCAAAAAAAAAAAAAAAAAACATTAAAAATATAATACTTAAAAGGTCCAGTGTGCAGGACTTAGTGCCATCTAGCTGTGAGGTTGCAGAACTGAAACTTCTCCAGTGTGCCAAGCGCGCAGGAGAAACATGGTGGCCAAAGTTAAAACGTGAATGGCCCTATCCAGAGCCAGTTTGTCCATTCTGGGCTACTGTAGAACAACACAATCCACTTTGTGGAGGAGGGCCTGCTTTGTATGTGGATATAAACGGCTCGATCTGAGGTAACAAAAACATGTTTCTCATTTGCCGGTGATAAACTAATGATTATGAATATAATCATGAAGATGCCACTAAATGAATGGGTCACCTTCATGATAATAAAAACTGTCTCTTATGAATCTACGTTGACTAGAATGACTAATCGTGCTCAAGGACCAATCAGGGGGGATTTCTGGAATTATTTTGTATGGTCCGGGGGCCTGGAAGTGTGATTTTGTCAGGTAGTGATTTTTGTTTTGCCCTGCCAACTTTTTGTTTTTGTATTTATTCCTTTTTTTTTCTTTTTTTTTTTTTTTTTAAATATAAATGTATATTATTTTCACTGTCAATTTTAATGTGTTTATTTATTCCAGTTTAATTCTATTCTTTTGACTGTTTTTTGGTGGATTAAGACTGGTGCTGTAACCCCTCTTGTACGGATCTTTATTATCCTGTTTGTATTATTTTTGTTAGTCAAGACTGAATGTCTCATTTGACATCTAGAACCGTCATGTACCACCCTAATGAAAAACAATCAAAATTTGAATTATATCTTTTTTAAAAAGATGCCACTAAATCCTGCACACTGGACCTTTAACCATACCTATGTTACACCATGCAAGCCACCTGAGGAGAAAAACAGAAACACCTGTTGTGTCATATCATCAAAATCGTTGGCATTTGACATTAGTGGTAGCTGTGTAAGAGACTGCACCCAAAATGTGAAGATTTATGGTTAAATAATTACAGTAATTAAGATAACTGACACTAAAATGTGGTTAATAATTCTGTGATGACATTTAGTTGCAGTGTGAGCCCTTGCTTCAACCCTCTGTGCCAAAAAAAAAAAAAAAAAAAAATGCTCCATAGATTTTATAAAGTAGAAGAGGTCACAGCGAGGCCGTCTTAAATCAGAAACAATCTTGTTTACCCCCCTGGAGAGTGACTGAGAGGGCACCGAGTGACGCAGGTGAGAGACAGGCGTCCACCCAGCCCCCGGACCGCACCTCTCTTATCTGCCTATGGAGTGGAGGAGGAAGGAGTGACAAAGGCCAGGGCTTTGGGTGTGATAAGGAAGGGCCATATGTCCTGCTTCGGCCCCGACTCTCACCCTGGCTGCCCGTTGCGAGAGGCCATCCAGGGGCCAGGGGCTGACCGCGACCAGGAAAGCCTCCAAGACGGTGTTTTCGCACACAGGTATGACTCTGACCCTGTGCTGTCAGATATACAGAACGATGGTGTGTATTTACATGTGGTAGCTTTGGGGCAGTGAAAGAGAGGAAGGGAGAGACAGACAGAGACAGAGGGTCAGGTGGAGTTCAGGGCAGATTTTTTTTTTTTGCCAGTCGTCTCACACTGCAGGAAAGCCAAATTGCTTCCGGATCTAAGTATCCAGCCCTGTTCCTACACTTCCCGCCTCCTTGTCTTCCTCTCTCCTTCCTTCCATCTCAAGTTTTTTTTTGTTTTCTCACTCTTTTGTCTTTATTCTGGCTCTTGAGGCGGTCGGTCCTGCTGGGCGGCGTGGCACAGGGTGACAATGTCTGTGGGGAAGCAGTCTTTGAGCAGGATACCTCTGTCTCTCTGGCAGTCCAGCTCTCCTATGAAGCCGTACCAGTAGATCACAAGGCCCGGACCAAACCTGCGGCGCAAAACAAAAGAAACAAAGCCCGTCTTTTGTTAGTACATCATCGCTGTCATGTCTGAGAGAGTTCTGAAGTGGCTGTGAATTAGTTACTTTTAAATTCATATCTGCGAAAATGCTCACGGCTGTTGACTTTGGATTTGGAAGGCAAAAACAATAAAAGGCAGGAATAACAAGTGAAGAGATAGAAAAGATGGGACACATGCGAGATTGATATATGAGAGATGAGGTCGCTTAGGTATTTTTTCCTTTGATCACCATCCAGGAAACTTGCGCTGAATCAAAAGAAAAAGCCGCCAGGAAGATTAAGATCTCTCTGACAGGGTGATACACACTTGATCACATTACAATGGCAGTGAAATAACAATAATCTGAGAAATAACAAAGCTCCGCGCACCAAGGCCGCCGGATCCTGTCATCGGAAGCCTTTGGCACACAGCAGAGCACACAGAGTTCATCACAAAGTCTGAGACTTAAACACACTGCATCTGGCGGCTAACGTTAGCCAATCCAACAGTGTCCAGCTGTTTCATTCACTTTGAAAGCCAAGGCAACTTTGCCTCAGTTGGCGAGCGCTGCAGTTCCTAAAAGCTATAAATAATGACTTGCAGAGAGTCTGAGAAGTTCAGACTATTTAAATGTGAGATTTTATTTTCTTCCTTATATCTTTTGTTCTCTCCTTCTCGACATTTTACTGCTATTGTGCTGTATAGGCGCTGTAGCTACTGTACACCTGAAGGTCTGCTGAAAGGTGCAGAAACAATTAAACCGGAGGAGCTCTTCGCGGGGAATGTGCGACGTTATTTCACTACTTCTTCTCACAAAAGGCAATAAATCATCTTTCAAGCTATTTATTATGCCCCAAAGAGCCACCGCCGGCCCCTCTCTGCCTCATATAGATCATGCCTATTCTTTGAACATTAGCTGCCATGCATAAAGACATGTCACAGTTGAACTCTGAACGGAGAGCACCTCGGCCCCCACATGCAAGACCAGATTCAGGGGGCTGACAGTGCTCCAGTCCCAGACACTCTATCCTCAGACAGTTAACAATGTTGTGGGGCCTCTGGAGACCCAGACAGGAAGCTAGCCAAAGGGCCACGGAGAGCAGCAGAAGTTCAGCTCCAAGGTAAAGTGCATAAAACCTTGAACCTGTGATCAATCATTTCATATTAAAATACTGACTCAAACACCCTATGGTGTTATTTTAATAATAATTACGAGGCTCTTTAGTCTTTTGTATGATTATAATTTATGAGCGTATTATGAATAGGTAGGTGTTTGACCCGTACAACTTCAACTAGCCACATAAATTATCAATGCAAGTCAAAGAATCAGTCGTCGTGACATTGCCAACTATGTATGTGTACTGTTGACTGAGCCTTGAGGCAGTGCATGTTCTACATACAGTACCCGAACGGAGACAGACACATGCACGAAAAAAATATGTGACTATACACACACACACACACACACCCCTGCCTCCAAGAGGCCCTCGCAGCAGTACATGCTTCTGCACCCCATCCCCGGATTCTACATTTTACAGTGTGTGATTTACGGTGCTGTATCTATGAGCAAACAGGCCAAAGCTAACAGCCCTGGAGAAAGCCCACAGATGCACACTGAAAGTTCACCACAATGTCACACTCATAGCTCAGCCTCTCAGCGCTGCGCCGAGCTCAAGCCCCCAAAACTCTCATCGTTTCCACGGTCCACCGCCACACATGGCCGCCAACTCTTAATATGGAAATGTTATGGAAACTAAACCTAAACATTTACATTAGATGACTTTGGAAAAGGGGTTATGCTCTTCTTTTTATTCCGCCGCTGTATTGTATGTATTTCCTGTGCTCTGGATGGGGAGGTTAGGCTGAAAAAAGGAGAAAGAGGGAGACTGGTCTGTGCCGAGTGGAAAGAGGCAACCTTCTGGAAAGGTTAAAACTGTACATCAACAGATAAGGCAGCGGTGTACGATACATCATGTCCCGGGTCTGTCAGGGGAGGCCGAGCACAAATTGAAACAAGCAAAATTATAAACACAGGGGAGCCATGTCACCAAGGCCTTTCCATACCGTAAAGAAAATAAATGGACTTTGAATCCTACTCAGAATGAATACAAGTCAATACTATGGGGAGCTTGAGGTAAAAACCTGAGACTGGGAATACAAACAATAACGCTGAGGGGGGAAGGGAGCGGTCAGGGGGCCAAGACTGAGCTGAGTGGCTACGGGATGAGAAGGAAAAGTTCCAAGCAGCCACCAGACACTGCGAAGAGCAATTATAAATATGATGCCATATACTTTACTGTCCCTTTTTGAAGTGTGTGAGGAAGTGACGGGAAGTTTAGTTTGAAATTTGTAGGCAAATTATGGTTTATTATGTGGGCCGGCTCATCTTAACCTGGCTTGTGCTTATTACACACACCACCTCTAAGTCAGCCATCTTCCAATAAACACCTAACTGTGTAACGAGTTGGTGAAATTGTTTGTGAAACGTAGCTAATTTCGGCGAGGGGGCCACTTGACGAGCCTGGGCGTGGATTGCGGCTGCCAGCCACGCTTTCGTTAGTGTTAATGAGCGGGTGGTGGTCGCATTTAAAGCAGGTGCCAAGCAGCTTACTACGGCAGCTTAATGAGAGCAAGGCACTCAGGAACAAAAAAAACCCCTCGAATGGAGGAGAGGGAGTGTTATTAGTGTCTGCCTGCGCACACACACGCACACAGAGGGAGTCGTGCAGCCAAGCCTCACACAGAGCTGGAGCGCTGAATTAAATCTCTGCATCTTATATGCACGATTCATACATACACGGAGCAGCCGTAAAAATACGAACTGCAAATCTAATAAAAATACAGTAAAACACAAACCATGCCCTTGAAGAATGTGCAAACTTGCTTTCTTGATTTTATTTATGCCCTTCTCATTTTCGGGGGAAGTCTGAGGTTGCTGGAGGTCAGACAGCTCCGCACCTCCACCCCACTCCCGAAAAAACTTTTCTACCGAACAAACAGATCAAGGCTAATTTGTTCTGCCACATTTGGTGAGAAAAGGCTTTACTAAAAACCGGGGGCCGAGCATGTCTGCCAAAACACATTACGCGACATGACGAATTATCAATAAAATCAAGATGAATTTATGCTCGACTCTAAAACACTGTCACTCCATTTTACATACCGCGCGGACCCATTTCAAACAAACGCCCCAGCAATGATTCAGACAGCGTAAGCCTCTACCTGAGCATGAACTCTGCGTCTCTGAGGTTTCCCCCACAAAGACCTCTTTGTTTTCGGCATCCATACATCAGGTCACAAGGTAGGCCCACTGAAGCACTGCCAAACATTAGCTTTAGTCAGTCTTTTCTCTGCTCTCTGAAATGCAGGTATGAAACCTGCTCAACTTCTTTTGAGACAGAAAGCATTGAGAGTGATTAGGGGGAGAGGTACGGAGGAATAAAAGTCTCTGTGTGTTGGAGACAGAAGGACTATGTACATAGCAAAAAGACAGAGATAAAATGTGTGTATTAGTGACAAATGGCATGCTCTTTCATGGTCAGACCATGCTATAGGCAGCTGCCTATAGAGGGTTATTTACAGGGTCAGATAATGGGTGCGTGATGTGTTTGCACGTGTGGCGTTTTAGAGGGGGGCAGTGACCCATGGGCCTGCATGCCAGGTGATACGGCCTCGCAGCTGATCACTGTACATCCAGCATGTGTATTTTAATGGCCTCGCAGTAGCTGTTTGTAGCAAGTCAGCCAGCCTTATGATGAAGACGCCCTGATAACACAAGCTTCCGTGCACACAAATAGGATATTTAAAGGCTGGCTCTGCCCGCAGGGGCATCCACGAACAGGGAGGTAAATAATCCCCTGCTACAAACTATACATCCTCCTGCCCATAAATAACAGGAGTTGAATGGAAGAGTTAACCTCCCACAGACAAGTTATTAACACGACTAGAGCTAAGAATAGCACACCTTTTCTCTCCCCTTTGTTTTTTTTGTGGGCGAGGGAAAAGTTCAATTCTGCTCAGGTATGTAACACACAAATACAAGGCAGCCATAACGCACAGTCGTATGTTAAATGAGTCGCCCAAGCCTACACAAGCATCGTAATTAAGGTGGAATAGAGGGCAATAAAAAATAAAACATCTTCTGCCAGGTGTAATTCTCCCCGACATTTTTATGTTTTCTGTCGATGGGGTATGGAAATGGAACGTGGCGCGGATGTGGCTTGTCTTTATCGCTGTTGGAGGCAGAGAGAGGGTTTTTTCGTGTATGTATGTTTGTGTAGTGTAGTGTTAGGTTTAACATAGAGGCGTGGAGGCGTAATGTGTGAGTATGAAGGGTGTGGGAGGTCAGGTCGACTCACTGTGTTGTGTGTTGCAGAAGGAGATAATTTACGCTCACTGACTTGAGATACCGACACCAGAACACAGAGCAGTGGATCCCAGTGCTTTATCTGGTAACCATAGCAACCGCTGTAACCTCTGAGGCAAGGCATGCCCTCGGCTCTGCGACCCACCACAAAATCAGTCAGTGGTACCTTAACTCAGGAACAGTGTGATACACTTTGCTTCAAGACGACACCACCTCTAGTATTTGCATGAGGAGGTGGAAGCCATGCCATATTAAACATCAGGGATAATACCATCCAAACTTACACATAATATCAAATAATAATAAAATGTAATGACTTATTTTTCTGTGTATCTTTGTATCTGGAATGTAACAACATCTAGGAGATGACTATGGGTGTTTTCAGAAGACACTTAAAGTCATTATACATTGAGAATTAAAAAGAATGACAATACTAATAATAATTTGGATTTTATGACTAAATAGGAATGTCAATTTCACTTACAACAGTCAAATAAATTCATTCATTTCCGTAACCGCTTAGCCTATCCCAGCTGACATTAGGTGAGAGGCGGGGTACACCCTGGACAGGTCACCAGACTATCACAGGGCTGACACACAGAGACAGACAACCATTCACACTC